TGTTTGCGGTCCAGCCAATTCGTATTTATCCGAACGTGCCGATTTGCCAGATCTTTTATCACGAGATCACCGGCGACATCACTGAATATGTCAGCGATAAGTATCAGAACAACCAAGGGATTCAACCGAGCCTGCTTTTCAAAGAGCTGAATCCCGAGGCGAAACCGCCCGATGAATCGCAGATGGCGTTTCCTTTCGACAATCAATAACACGCATCGTTTTCAGAAAGCGAGAGCACTGCCATGCCTCAAGAACCATCCCATCTTTCGCGTCGAGATCTCTTGCGAACTGCCGTCGGAACTTCCGTCGCCGGCGGTCTGGCCGTTACCGCAACTGCTTCAGCAGCCGAGCCTGACGCTCAAACGAAGCTTCCGCCGGAAGACTTCAAAGCCACCGGCAAGAATGTAAAGCAATCGGTCATGGCATGGTGCTTCAACCCAATGCCAATGGAAACGCTGATTCCGGCATGTGCGAACATGGGGCTGGTCGCCATGGAAGGGCTCGATAAGAAGTGGTATCCGCTGATGAAAGAGCACGGCTTGAAGGTCTCGCTCTGCTCAGGCCACGGGTTCGCTGAAGGTCCTGTGAATCCTGAATATCAGCCGATGTGCCGCGAGACATTAAAGGATGCGATCGATACCGCGGTGAAGTGGGATTGTAAGAACGTCATCACATTCACCGGCATGGAAGTCAAAGGACAGACTTTCGAGCAGGGCACTAAAAACTGTGTCGACTTCTTCAAAAGCATTGTTCCTTACGCCGAAGAAAACGGCGTGACGCTGGTCATGGAGCACTTGAATACGCGTGACGATTCGCACCCTATGAAGGGGCATCCTGGCTACTTTGGCGACGACGTCGATCATTGCATCGACATCATCAAACAAGTCGATTCGCCGAACTTCAAGTTGCTATTCGACTTCTACCACGTGCAAATCATGAATGGCGACGTAACGCGTCGGTTCCACCAACTGCTGCCGTATATCGGCCACTTGCATACCGCTGGCAATCCTGGCCGCTGCGAGATTGATGAGAACCAGGAAATGAACTACGCCGCGATCATCCGCGCCGTGGCCGATTCCGACTACGATGGTTACGTTGTTCAGGAATACATCCCGACCTGGGACGACAAGATTGCCGCACTGCGACATGGCGTCGCCCTATGCGACGTCTAATCGAACGAGCACATTCGATCAAATCGACAAACCATTGCGGGGTACGTTATCGTGCCCCGTTTTCTTTGAGGTTGTCCTGGAACGCGGTATAAAAATCTCGCTGCTGTTC